CACCTTTTTGAGTTGATTGTGAGCTTCAGTGCTGAGGTTTAAAATGTCTCCAGTCCAGGAGGTGAACAAGAGAAAATGATAACCACAGAAAGGAGTGTGAAGACTGCAGGGAGCTGTTAATTATCAATTTTTTTTTATAAATGGAAACTGTTCTGTTTAATTACTTAATGTTATGACGTTACTGGTACTGCTTTCCTGTTTCATCTTTGTCTTTTCTTCTCTTCAAATCCTTAGGGTATTTTTCTACTACGTGAAACAAACTTAGCACACATCATTACTGACAATCACACATCGCAGTACAACTAAAAGCTGATAGTCAGAAAAAATAATCACAGATTTGTCACTATCTCGATATTCTCTCAATGATGAGAAAGTATGCATGAAATTTTCAGTATCATAACATATTTTGTTCAACATCCATCTTGTCCTTTGCCCTGTTTCTAACTTAAATATTTGAAATATTCCCCATAGTCCCAGCAGGGCGCATATGTGTGCATGTGCATGATAGAATGAGGTCAGACGAGCTTTAGTTTGTATCTAAATCACTACCTTTGATGTGGGAGGTGTGCACGCGTTCGTGAATCTGCATTGTGTCATTTATAATCTTTTCAGAAGTGTGTGCATATCTGAGATGTTTTCAAACCCCCCCCCCCAAAAAAAAAAAAGAAAACAGCAGTTAATATGCATCTTTTCTGCACTCCAATATGTGCTGGCTTGAGGTACGTGTGAATATCTAGCCCACATGATGAAGATCATCTTGGTCCGCTCAACACAGCTCGTCCTTTTTTGTCCCACCAGCTGCCAGCTTGCCATTTGTCTCTGTTAAAATGTTCAGGTGGTGACAGTTTATTATGGGATGCGACAGAAAGGTCAAACCTCTCATACACACTTAGTAGTTTACTGTAGAAAAAGGTCAGCAGTGTGTCAAGGGTAAAGGACAGACAGAGCGTGTCAGACGAACCCAAACAAAAAGAGCTAAAAGGTTTTGTGCGTTGAGTGGGGGCGACTGAAAATGTTGCACAGTTAAAGAAAAACAAATCAAAAATTATACAATTACGCTCAAAAATAATTGTATAATGTCACATGTGTATGAAACAATCATTAGAAAGTCTTAGGTTCATAAATAGTTTAAATTATTCTCGATAGTATCTCTTTGGATAACCGTCACCCTCAGTTCAGCTTTTATATAGTCATTTTCATGTGGCTGCATCAGCGTTTGAGTGAGATCGTAGGTCTAAATATTACATCACACAAAGAAATTCACTGGCAGGCTCCTCCTCATACTTAAAAGGATGAGACCTAATGCAGCACCTCAACAAGTAAAAATGAAAATTAATCCTCCTGGGACCTGCTTTGATTTTTTTTTTTTTTTTTTTTTTTGAAGTCTAAGCTGATTCAAAAGCAAGCTTTAAATTACCTTCCCTCAGAAAATGCTGCTTTATGTGTTAATATTTCCCTTTCATTAAATCCATCACATAAGTTGGAGTTTTTGTTTATTAATTAATCTGCTTCATTTCGTCAGTTTTACTCCTGATTTTATGTTAATAGTTTACTGCACCAACATCTGGCCACATTTATGTTTGTTTTGTTTTATTCTTTAAGTGTGTTTTTTTTTTTCATGGTCTATTTTCTCATACTTATTTTCTTAATATACTGACACAGATTACAAAAATTATTTTGGAAAAATGGCAGTTGTTCTGCCATTTGTGTTACACAAAGAGTAAACGCTCTAACCAAAAGTCAGTGTGGATAGGACTACACCTAGTGGTAGAAATGTAGACGTACACACACAAGCTTTACTTCTACAAGACTATAAAAATAGGTCGTGCGTTCAATAATATATGGTTATTTATATAACATAAAACATGAGGAATTTAGTAATACCATTTGAAACAGAAAAGAATATCTATTGCAATATAATGCAATAAGAGTTCAAAGTAACATGAGTGGAGAATCTTTTGTGGAAAAAGTTGATGCAATAATACCTTTAAAGTTCAACATAACTTTTGTTTTTAAGGCTTTTAAAATGCAGCCTAAAAGCAAAGAATAATTGTGTCTAGAAAAAAGCATTTGTAAGCATCTTTTCTTCACTAATTGTAATTTATTTAAACCGAACACGTCTTACAGAATAAACGTTTTAGTGACTGTCATGGCCTAAAAATACAGCCGGTAACATCTCTATGCTGAATCTCACAGCCTGGCTGCTGTGGGGGAAGGCCTGCTGTTTGGTCTGCTGGCAACAGATAAATGTAAATGTTGACTCAGAGTGATGGCCTGCCCTGATGCTTGAGTTCTTTCATTCCCTTCTGGTTTCTGGTATTAAAGAAAAAAAAAAATCTATGAAGGAAAGTGTTGTTCACTTTTCATGATGGATTTTAAGCTGAATCCGAAACACTCACACATTCAGACGAATGACACCACTGCAGGTAAATCTCCCTTTCTGTCTCGTTTTAATGAAACTTTACAGTATTTACGCCTGACAGCTCAAGCAGTTAGATGTCTACACATTTCTCTCTTTCTTCTAAAACATTTTCTTCACTCATAATTTCACAGACATGAAGTTTGTGATCCTGTTGGCCGTTTTGAGTGGTAAGTTTTCTCCTCTGTTGTTACTGCAAGTATATGTGCTGGTGTTGTAGATTTAAAGTCATGAAACATAGTTTTGAAAATTATAGTTTTAAAATTTAAACATGCAGTGTTCTACTAGACCTACTTAACATCCAGGATTCGCTCATGACGTCTATTTATGTCAGTTTTGTTAGGAATTCTTATTTAATACATGCGCCTACAAGTATTATTATATCCGTCAATGTTAATGTTTTTAGGGGGTTTTGCTGCCCCTTTCCTGAAGGAAGAGGAGGCTAAGGGATTCATCAGGCTGAAGAGACAGGCAGGATATTGGGATCCACACCACTCTCAGAACCAGTGGGGTTACACCGTTCAGGAGCAGGTAAATGTTAGTGAAATGTTCTAAGCATATAGAGTGAGTCACTTTAAGAATCGTTTCATGTAACTGTTTGTTCATTAGGCTAATGAGTACTGGACAGCCATTCGAACAGATGCGCAGTATTAAATGGACATGAGCAACCTGATGTTTGACCGCTCTGTGGCCCCGTGAGTGACGTAACTGTTTGTTGCTATTAAATTACATTTGAATGTTTCAGTGTCAGACTCTTCCAACTTTATCGAGGTAACGCATTATCATTTGATATGTATGTTTATGGAGTACATTACTTACATAACTTTAAATCAAACACGTTTGCAAAGGAAACAACAATGGTTACTGTTTTAACGGTCAGCGTGCCCAAACCGAAGTAACTTCAATGAGCACTGTAACTTGCTTTTAATATAGTTATGATACTTTTGATCACACAAACTTAAAGCCAATATTCATTATATGTATTTTACTTTGCAGCGAAAACAACAGGATGTATATGGAGATGCTGCGCAATGCACGCGCCCACCTGGACAGCCTCACCGGTCGTAATGGGTAGTAAAGAAAAAAGAAGACTGGGGGCCCAATTAAAAAGGAATTAAATGGAAAACATTTCATAAAAAGTGATTTACAAAAGCATATATACAAAATATATAGTTAAGAAAGCATATAAAGACTTACTTGATATGGGATGTTTTTGAATATGTTCTCCATTCAGAGCCTGCCTGAACTGTACTAGATTTAGCGATCAAACGCACTATGACATGAACGCAACATTTGGAGAGAAAGTCTTAGAATCTCATTAATTGGTCAGCTTTTTTACTCAAGTTAAGCCTCTCATTGGTTACGAAGCGTGACCATTATTTCCTATATCAGCATGGGGAAAAATGTTGTTTTCAGCAATTGTGTCAAAATTATTGGATTATTGTAGAAAAATGATGCAAGCATTTCATAAAATAAAATCAAATTAAATTGAACTGATCATTTTGCTTCTTTAGTCTTTTGGGATTGTCTATTAATGGAAATAAAATGATTTTATGCCATTAATTAAAACGTATTCACCAGTATTCGAAGAATCAAACGAAATGAGACTTACCACCAGGTGGTGCTGCAAGATGCAGATTTTAAATCAGATTTAAGCTAAAACTACATCATTAAAATGATACTGTTTGGGCGGGATAAGTCATACCATTTGTGACACCGCAGTGACTTAAATTATGCACACAACATGATGAGCAAATACATTTCTTGCTGAATTCTAAGCGAGTCTAAAAACAGCATTATCTTAAACAGGCTTGTGTATTTAAACCAGCTTTATTGGTTTGATTAGGTACATCGAAACAATAAAAACAACAAACTTTTATGGGTTGTTTTCATTAATTCAGTACACTTTGTTACTTTAAATGTATTCTTTGTCTGCTGTGAGAAAAATGTATCTGATGAGGACAACACAAATGACAAATCAGTAAATGCTACTGAAACAGAGCAGCACAATTTTTAAGCTTCAGTGTGGTGATACTCAACATACAGCCTGAGGGCCAAATCAGGGCTATCATTAAGTTAATGTTAGCAATAAGTCAGATGAACTGACTTATTGCTAACATTAACTTTTACTGTTTATTACTTTTATTTTGGGTTTATTCATGCCTTGTCACATGAAAAAAAAAAAACACAGGGAAGAGCAAGTTAAGTATCTTTCCTTTAATACTTTATTTCCCCTAATGTGTGAAATCAAAAGTCAAACGTTTTGCAAGGTGGTGGGATCTCTGTTTAAGGTAGTTTAAAGGCTGTCTGCAGAAATTATTTTTCTTACAGTTTATCACAAAAAAGTAGCCTACTGTTAAATAATAGCTTTGACAATGCCCTCGTGAATGTTTTATTTCATTAAAATTCCCAGAGTAGAAATTTGTTTTGAATTTGAAAAAAAAGTATGTCAAGAAAAAAAATATCAAATTAAATATGATGTTGGTTAAAAACATAAAAAATAAGGCAATTATGGGGTTTTACCTTAATCTTGTATATTGATAGCTAAATACCATTTGGTGTAGAGTTTATGAAGCATTTCTTTGTTGTTGTTTTTTATTTTGGCAATTTGCGAACTGAAACTGAACACAGGTGAAACTACTGGTTACTGAGGTTGTCATATATATCTTAAACCAGAATAAAATGCCAATATAATCAGATGAAACATTATGATATTGACAAAACAGACATAGTGACTTGATGACTTATTCGCATGTATATTTTACACAGTGGTTTAACAGAAAGAGTCAGATAGTCAACAAAATCCTGTAAAAGGTGCCTGCAGTGGGTTCTTCTTGCTCAGTGGTACCATGTTTAAAAAATGTTTTCTTTGAAGGCAGATGATCAGTTGCCTCGTCAGTGTAACGGCTCTGAAGCTTGTTCCTCACTTGGAGTTGGAGGAGGGATTTTCATGAACATCTGCAGAGCTGGAGTGAAGATAAGGATGGTGCCTAATACTGAGACAGTGAGGAAAGCCCAAAGGAAGATTCTGTCTAACACCTGGGCCACAAACTTCCAGTCTTGTACCACCTGTGAAAAGGAAAAAATAAGACATGGGATTACAGAAAGAGTATGCGCAAAATAAACATCAAGTTCTTAATCTGTCAAAAGAATTTAATGTTTATTGATAAATACTTTACACACCTCACGGATGAAGTGTTCTTTACGGATATGTCTGCTGATGTAGCGCACCGAATAGATGGCTTTCTCCAACATAGTACCCCAGGCTTCTTCGTCCTTCCCATCAGAAGTAGTCGGTCCGAGCGAACCACTGTTTGTCTTCTGGCCTCTTCGACCTCCAGAGCGAGACTTCAGCTCAGGGCTTTCGGGAGCCAGCTCTGGGTAGTGGTAGCGGTCAGTGTGCCCTCGCATGCACAGCAATCTGGGCAGTTTTTGAAGAAAGAGGTTTCGAACCCATGGCGACATTGGGTGGTAAGTAGCTGAGGAGCGGTGGTGGACATTGATGACAAAGACAGTGACGATGATAGAGAGGGTGACAAAAATCATGATGAAGAGGAGGTACTCTCCGATCAGGGGTATGACCTTGGAGGAGGAGGGAATAATCTCTTCAATGACTAGCAGGAACACAGTAAGTGACACTAGGACGGAGGTAGAGAGTGAAAGCTTCTCTCCTTCATCTGAGGGGAGGTAAAAGACCAGGACGGTCAGAAATGACAAACCCAAACAAGGGATGATTAGGAACAGCGTGTAGAACAAAGGCAGCCTCTTCAGGATGAAGGAGTATGTGATGAAGGGGTAGGATAACAAGCCATCTTTTCTGTTTCCTTTGGCACCAGTAGCATTGAGTATCTCCCACTCCCCGTTATCAAAGAAGTCTTTCCGATCAACCTGGTTGTCCATGAGAACCAAGTCCACCATGCTGCCATCATAGGTCCAGGACCCAAACTTCATGGAGCAGTTCTGCCGATCAAAAGGGAAAAAAGTGACATCCATGGTGCAGGCAGATTTGTAACTGGCAGGTGGTGTCCAGGTGATGGCCCCGTTGTACTTCACAATAGCTTTGGTCATCAGGGAACCCTCAAACCGCCCATCAGCACTGAAGAAATATGAAACACAAGTCAATTCTCATCTTAAGTCCATTTACATGAAACTGTTAAATTAATACTACTATATGCAATCGTCCATCTCCTTGATAATGAATTGTTTTTATGCACCTGTTGTAGTTCAACTGATAATCACATGAAAAATGAAAATTTATGGACTCTTTGAGTCCACATCGCTCCCTGCTACTTGACCAATGGCAACTAAGACAGGCTCAAACCTAATAAGTGGTCAAGTAAATGTATGGCTGATTGGGTGAATGTACAAGGAACAGAGTGGCCTTTCTGAGCAAAGCTCAGTGTTACTGATTTTTATTTTTATTTTTTAGATGAGGTGTAAGATTAAATATTTATATTACAACATGCTGGTTACAATTAAAGTTTTTTTAAGCAATTAAGATAGATAGCATCACGTTGTGTTAGTGTTTTTCATACAGACAGACTCATGTTTCACATGACGTAATCATCAGTCACTGGATTGCTGAAATTTCAGAGCGGCCTTACTTCTCATACAGGACGATGTCTGGGAGCCAGATATTTTCTGAAGGAACTCTGATGGAGGTGATTCCTCCGTATTTATCTGGATTCCATCGCAGCTTGTAATCAATCCATTCCTGGTCAAGGAAAAATGCAGGAAGCCACACCAGCAGACGTATAAACAACACTCAATAATACTGTGATTTGCTTGTATTTGTTGGAATTAAACTTGTCCAATAGCTCTATACCCTCTATAACAGACTCCTTTATGAATTCTGTCACCCATCATCAGTTATACAAATAACAACTAAATATTAAATTTAAACCAACTGCTCATACATACAGCTTATTTAAGCAAATCAAGGGTCTATATATTAGTTTTAAAATACATTACATTCAAAAAGTCAGTCTCATTTTACCTGCAAACCATGTGTTATTTGTTAATGCATCATGAAAAATAAACTGATTAACATTTATGAGAAAATGTTTATAAATGGTCTCTTGGATGATTCTGTACTATCTTTCATGCTCCTGCCCAACAACATTGTGTTCATTTAGTCTTACCTGCCACAGCCAAACATTAGTTGTCATTAGCTGATTTTTCTCATCCTAAAAGACAAAAACATAAAAAATAGAAAAAATATTAATATTTAAAATTGGGAAAATATGTTACGTAAAAATACTTTCCAAAAACGTAAGAAGAAATCATTTTTGCAACCCATTGTTTTATTATTTGTTGGATTTGCACATTAAAATGCAACTATGAAAATGAAATATATTTGCTTGTTTGGCTGGTTTTGGTTGGGTTGTTCAGTTCTGTGCAAAAGACTCAAGACACCCCTGATGTCTTTGCATGTTTTCAGGGAAAATGGGAAATAATTGCATACATAGAAATAAAATAAGGCAAAAACAGAGTTTGTAGAATTCTTAAAAGCTTGAAAGTCAACATTTGGCATGGACACTTTTATTCTTCAGCTGTGTTAGCTGCAAGCTTTCTTTCATTGTCATTCAGTATTCTTCAGGAGCAGTTTTCCAGGCTTCTTGAAGGATGTACAAAGCTCTTCTTTGGATACTGGCTGCCCTTTGTTGTGCCCTCTGTCTACATGACCCCACACTGCTTCAGTAATGTTGAGGTTTGAGCTATGGGGAGGCAAATCCATGACTGACGGTGTTCCACTGTGTGTTTTTCTATCCAAGTATGCTTTTCCTGCAGTGGCAATGTGCTTGAGATCATTGTCAAAATAAAAGATGAAGGCACTGCCAATCAGAAGCTTCCCAAATGTTAGTGGATCAAAGTCTGATGATACTTTTCTGGGTTCATAGTTCCATCCATTTTGACAAAGTTTCCAAAACCACAGGCTGAAGTTCAACCTTAAACGCTGACAGAGCCTCCATTGTGTTCTACAGATGGCTGTAAAACATGGCACTCATTGTTATACCCCTCTCCTGACTTCCTCTGTACATACTGACAAAAATGTCAACCAGAAATTTCAGATTTGGATTCATCACAACATGAAACCTATCGCCACAGATTTTGAGTCAAATTCTCATGTCATTGGCATACCTCAGCCTTATCTGTCTCATGTCATGATTCTATTAGTCCAAAAACACTATTTTATGCCAATAAACTTTGATATCTTTGGCATTTTTTAAAAGATTTAACTAAAGAAATAAAAACTTGCTTTTGTAACAGAGTTCTAGTAACAAAGTACCTAAAGATACACTTTAAAATTGGTTCTTCGCTAAGGCACCTGTTCAGTGTAGACTCAACACTGGTTCATGCTTAAATGATTCATAAACAAAGTTTACAAAGAAATCCAAGATCACTTATTTCATTCAAATATTTTATTGTCTGCTACTGTTTTAGTAAATATAAAACCCCCAGCTGAGGTGAACCAAATCATCTTTTCGGTTTCCACTGTATCTGACAGAATCTGATTTATCTGCCACTTTCTTAGTAAACACAAAGAAAACATAGTACCAAAAGTGGGTGCAGGAAGCTGTGCTGATAACAAAAACAAGTTCAACAACCTTAGCAGACGTGAGCGAGACATATTCAAAGATGTTCAGCATATCCAGAGCAGGCCTCAGCTGTCAGACTCAGTTGAATGTTTTGGTGATCACATAGACCAGAGGTGAACCATAATCTAATACAGAGCTGAGCAGCAGCCTAGAGAGAGTCAGGGGACATACACAGCATAGGCAGGCTGCTGTTTTTATGTTTAGCTCCGTTGCCCTTTCTCTTTCCCAGGATCCAACAGATCAACCTAAACCTTTCCTATTTGCCACAAACAGCTTTATGTAATTCATTTCTGGCTGCATTTGTTGGAAGGAAGAGAAGAAAAGTTAAATATGGACTGGCTGAGATGAATATTTCAAGCCAAGAAGCATGGTTCCTCCATTAGCGTGCTCAGTTTTCTCCTCCGGAGCACCTAAACCATCTCAACCTATTGCAACCAGCCTCTGAAATATTAAACAAACACTCCAAAAAGAGACAGTGTAGTCACAAATATGAAGAGATAGCTTGAGCTCTATTTCAGCACCACACATAGTGGGACTGATGAAACCAGAACAACCTCTTTATATTTCTTTTATATGTGTTACACGTGTTTTATCTAACTCAGTGTCTTGATACTTTTTCAATAATTGCATTTTCAAAGCAAGTTCATGCTTGCATATAGTTTTTGCTGTTAAAGGGCAAGGCTTGCAATATTCTTTACTTTGGATGTTGCCAACAAATCTCACAGGAAGACCGAAAGACTAAAACTTGTGTAAAATTCAAACTAAGGAAGCCACTTTTAACAGGAGTTGCAAACTGATGTCAGTCTGTTTGTACGTGTGCGTGTGTCGTCTCACCACATCGACCAGCTGAGAGATCTTGAGTCCAAAGCGTACTTTAATAGTGTCATTGTTACGCTGGATTGGCCTAACCCAGCGCTGATAGCCTTGGAAAAGGTTCTTCAATAAAGCATCCTCCATCTCCGCCAAGGACACAAACTTATTTGGAGCTGGAACAAGAAGAGGGAAGATGGAGCAACAATAATAACAACTGTGCTCCTACTGCAGCTGCTTTTCACCATCACCAGCCGGATTTTAAGTGGCAGGGATAGAAAGTAGAGCATTTACTCTTCCTCTAAAAAACACACACACTGCATAACAAGATAACAAGATAGGATAAATGGTTAATATGGCTGTGCACAGAAGCTGGGCAGTCAGCCCATCAGTCAGTCTGCAGTGAAATAAACTGCAATGTCGATGGAGAGAGACATCTAAAATATCAGACACAAGGGACATCATGTGCAAGGACTAATGTGTGTGAGCTGAGGGACCGGGAGGAAGAGTGTCCACCTTTAACCTGCAGCGTTTTTGCTTTGTTTTTTTTTTCCACTCTGGCTTCACATCTGTCTGACATCATCTGACAGGGTAAATGCTATAAAGGATCCACCAAGCAAACATAAAAGCCACATTACAGATGATTGAATCCCACAAGCTCTGGCTGTACTTTCAAGGACAGGTGCAGAGATGCTGATATATGACACCTGTGTTCTTGTTTGCCTGATGACCAGTCAGCTCCAAGAGAAGCAGAGCTAGGGCCATCGCATTACTGCGTTACACTGCTAAAAGGACGATCTTGTTGCGCTAAAAAAGCTTAATTCAGCTCACAAAAATGGCAGCTTTTGCTGTTTTGTTGTTGTCAGCACAATTAGAAGTCTGCATGCTTTCTCCAAGTTACTGAATCTTTAAATCCGAAAAGAAACGTGGGAATGTAAACATAATCCTTTGCTTTATAAGACCAGTGGTGAGTAGTTGGTAGTAGTTTGCGCTTTCCCGTTTGACAAGGTCATCGGAGTTTATGCAGAGTTTAATCAAAGCTATTAGCGGATGTTGCACAACATGGAACAAATCGGTGGAGGCATTACTGAGCATAGAGTGTGTATTCTAAAGAAATATTATATTTATATATACATATATCAAGAGTTTTCTCACCGGCAATCTTCGCGGGGGACAGCTTGCAAGAACCCAACAGGAGAAGAAGAAGGACTTCTAACTTCATGGTATTGTCAGCTGGAGAAGAAGGCTATGCACACCGATATGTCTTAGACCCCGAGGTTCCCATCAGTGCTGGAACTAGACGGTATACGGAAAGTAACCCCGTTACTGCTGCCGTGTATCAGGGGGCAGGGACCTGATGTGAGAGCGCATGTGTCCGAATCTGATTCCGTTCGAGGCGTCACGGGAAGCGCCGCTATCGGTGGACGGGGTGGCTCGCAGGAGCAGGGAGGGAGGGAGCGGAGAGGATGGAGGAGGTGGTGGCGGGATTCCCGGATCGGACAAATAAGTGAAGTTTTAAAGATGCTCTAAATCATTGTGTTTAGCTCACTGCTGCTACTGACCTCCTCAGGATGGAATAGGTTATTACTAGCCGATGTTTAAAAGTCCTGCTCGGAATGTAAGTCTTGAGCTTTCACTTTAAATTGTGTGTAGAGTTCGCACATTTTAAAAAAGACTTGGGACAAACAAACACCCACCTCTAATGACTTTAGATTTTGTTGCATTATATTTTATTGTCTATAGTTTTCTTTTTAGAAATATAATATAGGGAATATAATGCAGTGAGAATGGTTGCCCCTCCTTCAGCGTCACCTTTTAGTCCATAGCACAAAGCAATTAAGCCCGTCCTTTAATGCAGAAAGCCCCTGTATGTGTGCATGAAAACGTCACATGAATGATGCGTCTTCACGAACTTGCTTTGAAAATGCAATCACTGTGTACCTAAGCAGGAGACTAGCCTGCCTTCATCAATAACACCTGTTTTACCTGTTGTTATGTTTTGGAAAAGCTTTATTACACTTTATTGCACCATTATCCCCAGGATCAAGAATCTGAGTTACAAACACTGTTATATTTAACTTTAAATTACTGAATAAAGTTGTTAAAAAGTGCTTCCGTTAGTGTATGTGAAGGGCACGCTTGTTTGAATTTTTTTTGAAATTTTATTTTGCACAAATAAACTCAAACATACATAGATCATATTAAAGTAAGGCAAAACATCGTTTTATTGACATAAAAAGGAAGCAGAAAGATTCAAATCAGATTTTGAGACATTTATAGGCAAACCTGTAATGCAACTGGAACATTTCTGTCTCAGAGCACCAGGTTTATCATTACATTATCACTGTGCAATCAGTCAAAGCTTACTGAGTATGTCGCAATGTGATTAGTTTGGCTAGTTTCAAGCTTGCTGAGACTCACCCTGGCATGAGTTTGTCTGTTAGTTTCCTCTACCTGATACCAACTATACACGGTCATAAATAGTGTAGTGAACGTTTATTGTGCTGTGTATTTTTTAGAGGTCAAGTGTGTTTGCAAACATCAGTGTGAATATTTCATCAAGATAAAGTCATCGGCTGCTTAAGTGCCAAAGACAGAATATTTGGGGGTCACAACTACATAATTCAAACACATGATTGCACACATGTAAGATACAGACACAGAAACACGATTTCCATGTTATGAGGCATGCCCTTGCATGCAACTGAACAAAAAGACTGAGGGTTGTCATGAAAAGGAAAGGAAAGGAAACCCAAACTCATGGCATACAGGACAAAAACAGCTGAACATAAGGCCTAACTCGCACACAAAGAAAGACACTTAGAAGAAGCAAAACCAATAGAATAGGAGTGAGAAAAGCAGAGCCAAGAGAAACATAAACTTATTATTATCCCGCAGTCAAAGACAGGCTGGTGGTGAGATGGCAGACATGCTTTACAACTCATAGCTGAGAACAACAACACTTTGGATGAAAAGAAATGTGTGATGTGAAATCAGTACTGCCCTATACCAGCTGACATCTGGGAGCTTGTAGAAATGCTTAGCTGAGGTGTGAAATCAGCATCTGATACAAACACATTAGTATTGCTTAGTTATGTACAAACACACTTTAAAGTTTAAAGTTCCCTGTTAACACAGGTTGAAACCAGGCAACAATCATCTTAAAATATCAGCATATATAAAGCTATTATTTGTATGTTAAAGTTCAGGGATTTATATACCTGCTTTGAATGTTGTTGGGCCATTGAAAGGGTGTTATCAAGCTTATACAAGCGCCATAGATATAAAAAAGTCTCCACAATCTCCTCCAGGTATATTCTAAGCAGACAGGAACTCTCAGTATTTTTATTTTCTCCTCCTTTTCACCTCCCTCCTCTCTTTCTAGTATACATATGCAGTACACACACACACACACACACACACACACACACATACTTATATATATGTTTATCTCACACTCCCCCTCCCTTGTGTTTCCTTTCCTGCTTCTCCTAGGTTGAAGTAGCAGGGATAACAGGAGGCTGATTATCACAATGAAATTATCCTGATTTTCTGCTCCACTTGGAGCCATGGGGCGGGCAGCTGCTGCCTCCGAGATCGACCCATCCGCCTCGCCTCTAATCATTCAGAAACATAAATTCTCATGGGCTTGAAACCTGCTGGTATCTTCCCAGATGACTGTGGGCAGCTGTGCAACGTGCTTGCATATGTATGTGTTAGTTGATGTGTGTGAGAGTGAGAAAGTGAGATAGTGAAGACACAAAGTGAGGAGAGAGCACATTGTCAGCATCTGTGTGTTTACAAAAACGTTGGCGCTTGCTTGTCTCGGCTCATGTGTGTCTGTGTTCTCTTCTTGACTGTGTTGGTGTTGTTTTTGTTTTCTCAGCCGTTGTTGAGCCCATAATTAAAGTCTGCATAATTTCACTGGGTGCAGAAATATTGAATTAATAAGAGGAAAAAGCCTCGACTACCAAGGCCTGGGGGTTTAATCTTAATGTGTTTGTTGTTTTAAGGGTTTTAAAAAGTGGTCATAAAGGAAGGAGGGGGATACAGCAAAGGAAATCCAATCTCACACAGACTTCAAAGGGAAACACAAAGAGTAGTCTAATAGCATCACCCCACCCCATATGCTATCACCAGCACTTCAAATGAAAAATCCAATAACCTGATGGTCTCATAGCAGCTTTCAGATGATACAAACTTTTTTCCAAGTCACTCCAACTTTAAAATGGTCTGATGAAAAAAAAATCCAAAACCCATCAATAATATAGCGGTTCAGTCATTTGATATTTTAATCTTCCGAAGCACAAAAGAACTGCAGGGGAAACTAGCTGCAAAGATTCTGGCCAGATCTGAGGAGCAAAAATCTTTCAAATTTATCTCAAACTTACAACAGAGGAATAAAAAGGGAAAGGGGAGCATGTGAGAGAGGGAGGGAGTGAGAGATTAAAACAAATTGGCCATAATACCCTTTGGGGCTCAAATATCAGTTCAAGAGCCAATGCTGGAGTGGAAAAAGTTAGCAGCAGAGTGAGCTTTCTCACTCCACTGACACACAGTCACAACATGACTATTGACCTTGAACATGATACTTCAGTCTAAGAGGCTCACACTGATTTTCCTTTTGTTTTCGTCTGACTGACGTGAGAAAAAGAAAAGACGGAGCAGCGTTTGAAACTCTAGCCGCTCAGACAGGGTTACAATTCTGTCTCCTTCTGATAATGTGTAAAGACGGAGGAGCAAAGATCAAGTGCGGCAGAAATGTTTACAGCATCATAGAAATAAACATCTGTGTATGCCTGCCTCACTTTGTTGGAACATAAAAGCAAGTTCCTACAAATAACTCATTCGTCTATATGTGACTACCACAGTAAGTGCAGTGCTCAGTTTGTGGTCATATTTTTGGGGTCTTCTTCTCATATTTATTCAGTAGATGGAGCCACTCACCTTTGTTGCCAAATATCTTCATTATAGGAAAATTATGACAATGCCACAGTTCAGATATTATTAATCACTGTTATTAGTATTATCTGTGACCACATAATGATCTTGTAACATTGTATGTAAATAAACCAACACTGACAGTTACAGAACTTACCCAAGCAGCTTCAAGCTCAGCACTACATTTACTGGGCTGCAGATACAGCAAGTTTAAAAATGATCTGATTAAGGGTTGTTGGAAAAAGCGAACAGACTGACAGACACAGATTAAGCACACTATTCCGATTTTCAAATGCTATACAGATGGTCGGAGCTGGGACATGTTTTAAGAAAATCTTCAGATTAAAAAAGAGCTTTTTTTTTTTTTACCTCAACAACTCTCATTATTGATGTATGTAATTTAATTGTGCCCTCTGACAAGTATTATAGCTTAATACAGCTTCACAGTTTGTTTGCACCAGCACTGCGTCAATTAGATGTCCTCACTAAGATATGAAAAAAAACGACTGTGTGTGTGTGTGTGTGTTCCTGTCTAGCTATCTTTGTGAGGACCGAAATCTGCATTCTACTATACTTTTGAGAACCAACAGTCACTTGTGAGGACACACACACACTGGTCCTCACAAGTTTGAAGGCCTTTTTGAGGCTCAAAATGTGGTTTTAGTGTCAGGGTTACAATTAGGTTATGGTTAGGTATAAGAGAAAGTTTGATTTAGATGACTTTCATTAAAGTTTTTATTGCACGGTCCTAGGGGCCGCTGGATCATCCAGATTTCTCCCTTGAGACTCCTGTTCAACTTCTCTGCTCCTCTTCTCCTTTTCCTCGATATACTGTATTCGATCCCTTGTGACTGGGTTAGGGTTAGGCATTCATTTTTAATGGTTAGGGTTACGGTAAGGGATTAGGGAAACCATTATGTCAATGAAGGTCCTCACTAAGACAGCTGAACGGGCTTGAGTGTGTGTGTGTGTGTGTGTGTGTGTAGGAGCATCTCCTCCCAGAGCTAGTAGGCAAAGAGTTAATGACTATGGCTGTAGTCATAAGTTGTGAGTCAGTTGTGCTTTGCATATTTGCACGTGTCTGTAATCTGAATTTTTGCAGATATGGTCGTCTATCTTTATGTGTTTGTGCAAGTTCGTGTGCTTGTATGTACTTAATGTGGGTATGAAACTGTGTCTGTTCACCTGTGCTGCTCCATGTGCCAATATGTATGTATGTAAATCTGTATTTCCCTATTTCTGTCTGTGTTAGCCTAATCTGTCTTCACATGCTGCTGTATTTATGTAGTTATGTACATAATCACTGAGACAAAAACACTCTCTGTTCATCTGGATTCTGTGTGCCCCGCAGTCAAAACGTGACTGAGGGCAGACTTTCAGCTTTAATTTAACGGGTTTCATAAAAATATTGTATTAACTATTTA